GTCCCGGTGTCGCCCCAGCCCGGCCGGGCGGTTACGTAACGTCCTGCGCCCGCAGCTTTGCTGGGGACGGAGCGCTGCGTCCTCCTCGGCCCCGGGCTCCCGGCGTGCACGGTGGGGGCGCGCCGGGAGCACAGCTTTGCTTTGCGAGGCAGGCAGGTCTCGGGGACCTTATTTCACTGTACATCTGTTGTTCGCAGGGTAAAAGACCTCTAGGCAAGCAGTGCATCCTTTCTGATCTAAAGAATGGTTCTGAATCTTTCCAGTATGGCTGTATGGAGCCGTGCGATTGAGTCTGATGTCTACATTCAGATGTGTTCTGTGTCTTGATAAATTCTTCAGTACTTACTAGAAAGCGGAATGGGAGAACTGTGTTGATGACTAGCTCATGACTAGAACTTCCCTTGCAGAAAATCATTATTCCTTGTAATAAACAATTTATGAATCCTCCTTGGTTAGTGTACTTTTGCAGTAGAACTTCAGCGCAGCACACTGTTATCATACTTCTAAAAAGTCTTTGTTAAAGACAACTGAAGGCTGTGAAGCAGAGCCTCATACCCTTCCATGTGCGTCTTTAATTAGCAGCGTCATAAGCATTCCTTCTTTATTGTGTACGGTCACCTGTTACTTTGTCAACTGTTTTCAGTGTGCCTCATCTATACTGAAGATTATAATGTTGTATTCTTCTTTCCTATGGTCTCTGAAAGTGGAACATTTAATTACAATCTCCAGTTGCATCTCTTCAGTTTTTTTCTTGATGGAACAACTGTCATAGCTTTTCTTAGCAGGAGGGAATCAGACCTGTGATTGCGCTCCTGGAAGAACTCTGAAAGTTTCTTGCTGTTTGCTCAAGACTCTTGGCTGTGCCTACTCCTTTCTATTGAAGTTTCAGGCAGTGTCTTCCATGTGCAAAAATGAAGAGAGCTGCTGCCTTTTTTAAGATCTTTGGTGTGTTGGGTTTCCCCCCCCCCCCAAAAACTAATTTAGGTTGTTCTCAGCCAAGGTTATAAAACTTGGTATAGAATTTATACTGACTTAAGGATTGAAATAAAAAGGGCACACTTTTTCTCTAGGTTGTATGGAGCTATTTCGGTGTTAAAGTATGCTTTTATTAGTAGTGAAAGTAAAACCTAAAGTATTACTTCTGTTTCAGAACTGTAGTAGTGGATTAAAACTCTGCTATGTGTTTAATGAATTAATGTTTGGTGTTAATTTTTTTCTTTTTTTTTCTAACTGGTCTTTGGAAATGTCTCTCTTCTTGCTTTTTTCCAGGCCTAATGTCACAGTTGTTCTGATTGTGAGTGTGCGGACCGGAGGCTGAGGTGAGATATGCTGAAATCTTTATAACTTTGTGGAAAAACTTTCTCTGAAGCTGTTATGGGATTTTTTGGAAAGAATGAGGAAATTTCTAATTGTTTTGCTTTCCTCTTTTCAGTGTGAAAACAAATCATGTTTGAGAGAGGAGGAGTATTTCAGAACAGAAAATGTGTGTGCTATGGTTAGCTGGTTCCCATCGTTCGAGAATCTGTTTTCTCATTGTGTGAAACTTGTTCAGCATCAGGATAAAGGATAGCGACTCTATGGATATACAGAATTCTTCACCATGGTAAAACTCGCCAACCCGCTGTACACAGAGTGGATTTTGGAGGCAATCAAAAAGGTAAAGAAGCAAAAACAGCGTCCTTCAGAGGAGAGGATATGCAATGCAGTGTCATCTTCACATGGGTTGGACCGCAAAACTGTTTTGGAACAGTTAGAGTTGAGTGTTAAAGATGGAACTATTTTAAAAGTCTCCAACAAGGGTCTCAACTCATACAAGGATCCTGATAATCCTGGGAGAATAGCACTTCCGAAGCCTCGGAACCATGGCAAGTTGGATGGTAAACCAAACGTGGACTGGAATAAACTTATCAAACGGGCAGTTGAGGGCTTGGCTGAGTCTAATGGCTCATCCTTGAAGAACATCGAGCGCTTTCTGAAAGGTCAGAAAGATGTGTCTGCATTATTTGGAGGTAGCGCTGCCTCCACTTTTCACCAGCAATTACGATTAGCTGTCAAACGTGCTGTTGGCCATGGTAGGCTCCTTAAAGATGGACCTCTGTACCAACTCAACACTAAAGCAACCACTAATGCTGATGGGAAGGAGAGTTTTGAGTCTCTTTCCTGTCTCCCTCCAGTGTGTCTCCTTCCCCATGAAAAGGATAAGGTAAGACCCAGTTTGCACAGGCACTTTCTCGTGATTGATGAAATGTGTCAACACAGAGTTGCAATTTGAGGTCAATGATTTGTTTAACTTGCATCTTGTAAGTTAGAAATTACTAATGTGCATTTAGGATCCTACTGTGTCCAAATTTCTGAGTGTGATCGGAGGAAGCCTAGTGGATTGCAATTTGTACTTGGTACCTGAAAACTGCAAATGCACTACTGTGGGGAATTTACCTCTTAACGCTTCTGTACAGTGGAATTTATTGTATGATAACAGGCCTACTATAGTTACGTTAGCAAAACATAGGAAGTAAGCTTCCTCACTTGAAGGTGAGGTGGATTTGCAAAGCAAACTTGAGATGATCTCTCATTTTCACATTTTTGTTTGACTGCCAGTTCGGCTTCTTATTTGCATACGGATAACATAGTGAAGCGCTGATTATCAGTTGCCACCTAATGCCGTCATAGATGCTTTCTTTGTGCACAATGAAAAAAATCACTTTCTGTACCAGAACAGCTTTGTTGAGAAATAGGAATAAAAGCTATATAGGATATAGCAGTTGAAAAGAAGAGTGAAATCACAGGATCGAGAGAGCATGGAAATGATGGAATAAACACTTGTGGACTTCTATTCCCTTTTGTGTGCCTCCCCTCACCCTTCTCAGAGTTCATTATACAAACAGAGGTATTTTTCTGTTGTTTTCTCTTGTTTTTATGCTTTTTACCTCCTCCTTTCTTCCATCCTTCTGCATGCCTAAGGTCTTTGACCCTCCACTCCAACCTCAAGATGAGGTTGTTGGAGTGAAGTTCATACCCAGTCAGTATTTTTCCTGTCCTTGTGCTACTCTGGAAGCAGAGTAAAAAGGAAGTCTGTTTATTGAAGACCAATTTGCCAGTAATTCATATCTTTGCACTGCTACTCTCCAGGACTTCTAGAATGAGAAATTTATTTTTTCGATCCATAGTAGATACATTTTCCAGCAATGCTGGATTTTTTTGTTGTAAATATCCTCTGCAGGGGTGAGTTCTTTGAGTGTGTGCTGCTCATGTTTTTTCAAGTCAGCTTCACTCTCTGGGGTGAGGATTGCTTTATGGTCTGTTAGGGTTTGAAGACTTAAAACTACTGTAGGAGTCTGCTTCCTGGAAAGAAAAAAATCCACACAGCTGCTTTACCACCAGTAAAGTTTCTCTGAAGTCCTACTTTAACTGTGGGAGCTCTACTGTGGATTCAGTGCTTACTTAACTAGTCAGAGTGTTGTGTTGTGGGGTGGTGGAATGTAGGAAGTATTACTATACTGAAAATTCCAGCAGCTTTCTCTATCATTTTCTTGAGTGTTCTGTCTACAAATGTTTCCTATGTACTTCTCCAGCTGTATCTTTAATGAAATCAGGATAGCTGTAAAATGGTATGAAAACTTAATGTAAACAAGCCTGGCACATGAGGTGGCTGTATTGAGAGTGGTAGTAACAGTAGAAGATATCAACTGTGCATATTATTATTAACACAGTATGTTTCTTGGCCTATTCAAGTCTTCTTGTAGTGTGCCAAAACTCAGGACCAGCTTGATATTCTTTCAGATGAAATGTTCCCTGGGGTTTTCTTAAAATGTGTTGTGTCAAGAGTGGTGAATGATAATATGAGCTACTATAAATCCTGAATTTGGTCTGAGGTTTGTTTCTTGTCCTCTGGAAAAATGTGTATGAAGTTCTTCTATGTGCATGTGTGTGTAAATATAAACATATGCACATGTATGCGTATGTGCGTTTTGGGCTGTTAGATATGCTCCCTAATTCCTTTGTACCTGCTCAGGTCTGAGTAGCTTGAACACTAAAAGGATTGTAAGTAACATTAGAATGCACGTCAACTATAGTAGAAATTTTGCAAGGGCTTTCTTGAAGAAATTCTTCTGATTTTTTTTTTGTGTGTGTGTTTTAAACTAACATCCTAGTTTTCTGCTCTTCATGTACCGTCTCTGTGCTGTGTAACCCATGCTGAGTTTCATACTAGTTTCTTAAGTAATTTTGAAGATATGGTATTAAAACATCTATGTAGGTTCTGCCACCATAAATTGGCTGGCAAGTCAGTGGAAACCGAAAGATTATTTCCTATTCTGCAGAATCTTTAAGACAGTTTTTTGTGGTGGTGGTGGTGGGTTTTTTGGTTGTGTTTTTTTTTGTTTGTTTGTTTTTTTTTAATGAAGACATTACGCAATAATCTTCCTTCACTCTGCTGTTTTGTGTTAAAACTCAACAAGTTATGCAGGTGCAAAAGGCTTACTATGCTGTAGTAATTTTCTTGACTTATTGGGTGCGTGAAAGTGGTGAGGGATTTTTTTGGGTCGTGGTTTTTTTGTTGTGGTTTTTTTTTTTCCTTTTTTCTTTAATGGAACTATTCAGTACAGATTATTTGGGAGTATTGTGATAATGTTTCTCTTGATTCTTAGAAGAGCCTTGACAACAACATGAACAAAACCTCAACCTCCCAAACCTGAGAAATCCTAATGACTTGTCTCTTGTTTGCTGTTGTTGATCTTTTATCCTTGCGCTGTTTGGTCTTTAACATCCATTTAAGAACTCATCGTATATCATATGATCCAAATTCATGAATCATGAAGGCATAATATTTCTTAATTTGTTCAAATGTAGCTTCAACTCAGCTGGAAGTGTTTACCTGTGTGTTTGATAGTAGTGTCACTTTCTTTAGCTGCCTAGAAGTGAATGTTCAGTTCTGTATATTTTCCTGTGTGTTATGAAACTCCAGTACCTTGCAGGAGGCTTATGAAAGCTGAGGCTTAAACTTTTCAAACAAAATAAATATAAAGCAGCATTACAGACACTTTGGTTACTAAATATTATTTGCTTTTTTCCAGATCTTATTTTTGATCTCAGTGTTCTGTGAATACCACATTCTAGCATTCAAGGGCAAAAAAACTGGCAAGTTATCGTGGTTTACCAGGTAGAAATTACATGCTGATGACATTATGGTTCTGAAATCCCTGGCCTAAAAACACTACCTAGATGAAAACAAGCAAACTGGAAAAAAAAGCCTGCTGATGGGCAGAGCTCAGTGCTGAAATTTGCTTACCTGTTAGTGACAATGGTTGGCAGAAGAAGTGTTTCCTTTAATTTCAGTTTTAAGCGCTGTGTGTGCCTTCACTCGTGTGTAGGCTTTAGGGAAGTGGCCTTTTCTTGCTTTTCAGTTTCCTCTAGTTTAGAGGCTAAAATGGGAATTGCAGTTAAGAGCTATTTTCTGCATTCCTTGTGACATTTTGGACTAAAGCTGAACTCGACTTTGATGTTGTTTCTATGGTAGGTGGCAGACTGGTAAGATTCACAATATCTACCCCTGTTGTGGAAAGAAAGAGGGGGGGGGTGGCAAATTGTTGCAATACAGAAGTTCATACTTAAGGGAGTTCATACAAAAGGAGTTCATACTGAAATTGTAATGAAAGAGAAGATGTTTGAGTTGCTGCCTCTTGGGTAAGTATCAGGCAAGCACTAGCCCTTCAACACAGCTGGAAGTGAAGAATCATAGATATCAGGCCTCCCACATTAGGTTGGCCAAAGAGGTGGTAAGTGTGGAGCAAAGAACGTTTGGCACCGAGTCCACCATCCGTCAGTAACATCTGTAGGGAATGAGCAGTACTGTGCAAGCTAGACTCTAAAATAAGTAATCCCACTGCTACAGTGCGATTTCTACGGTAAAGCCCTGATTAAATATGCATGAAAGAGTTCTTTAAAGTATAATTGTAACTTCTGTTTCATGTGTAATTAGCATACTTGCAGACTGAAACAGGATTTTTACTTTTTGAAGTAATTTTTTTCTGGATGAAAAATTACTGTATGCTGGTGTTTGTTCAGAGGAACAGTCTTCTTGAAACTTCATACTAATTATTATTTTAAAAAATGCTTTTTCTGAGGTTGGATTAAAAATTATTCGGTGCTGCTTTGGAAACCATAACTTATCTTTAAATGAATGCCATGCATCTTTAGATAGCTGAGGGCAGATTTTTTTTATCATCTTTGTAAAAGCTAAACAGAATAAACAATGATAATATTTTAACGTATACTGGCTATTGAGATGTCTTTGGGAATAGAAAAACTTGACAGAAGTATGCAGAAAAAACTTGGAGAGTATCTTGATTAAATTTTCAGAGGTATTTCACCACTACTTGATTGGGTTCTTAGTTTTGGTTTTTTGGTTGGTGGTGTTTTTTTGTTGTTGTCATTGTGCATGATTGAGGCAGGTGCTGTAGAGATTATTTAAGAAGCTGATCTTATTTGTACTGACGCCTTGCATCTCTGCCAGAGGTTACCACAGCCATCACAAAGATAAAGCAAGTGGTGTTTTGCTCCTCAACTGCTGTGGTTTGTAGCCCAATTTATTACTATTAAATGAAATTGTTGGTTTAAGTTAATGTTCTATGTTGTGAAATTCAGCTGCTGCTGAAGGGAGAGAATTTCCAGTGAAGGGACAAAGAGGGCAGTACAGGGCGGTAGCCTCTTTAGTCATGTCTGTGAAGTGGCACATCATCAGAGCCCTTGGTTGCATGCTATCGCATTGGCCATACAACCTGCTATACCTCTGTTTTATCTGTACCACTAATACCTGTGTTTCTTTGCTTACGTTTTGGTACAGAAGATGAGCTGCATTTGCCAGATGAGAAAGACTGATTTCTCTCTCTTATAGTGCTTAGTTTCAAATGCTCTGCTTGTGCATTTGAAGCCTGAAAAATAATGAGTATCTGAGGCTTATGTGTGGCTATCAAATGCATATTATATCTTTAGCTGTGTGAAACTTCTTATGCAGTTGTGTGCTGTATCTTTAGAATGCTGGGGGAAAGGATTGCAGATTGCAATACTTAAGAGGCTTTTTTGGTCAGAAACTTTGAAATTGATAACTTTGCTTCTCCCCCCTCCCCACTCCATCCCCCCCCCCCCCTTTTCTGTTTTGTTGAAAGAGAAGAGCTCACTGAACCTATATTGGTCTGGAAAGCCCTG